GGGGGGGGGGGGGGGGCGGGATTACGTTCGAGGAGATTTTCGCATTCGTCGATGGCGGCCAAAGGAACACCCCGTGACGCACGATGGTATTTTCAAATGAAATAGTTATTATAATAATACGGAAAAAGATGTTGGAAGCATGATTCAGAACCACGATGCGTTTGGCCAGCAGTCAACTTCACGAACGAAGCGCGGAGGAAGGCTTTCCGCCAGAATGCTGTTCACCACGCTTCGCTGCCCTTTCAGCTGGCCGGGTATAGTTCGCCCTGGGCCTGGACCATTGCTATCCACCCTAAGAGCCGAGCCCCCGTCCCCCCCTTTTCGATTCATGCTTGTATTTCTCGTTGTCGCCCCGCCTTTGGCGCCACAAATCTTTCGTTTTTGAACTACTCCCCCAACTTGAACGCGACGGCGACGATGCGTGCGAGCTTCGGATCATTTGGATTCAGAGACATTCAGACTTTTTGCAAATATCGTTTCCCTTCCGACCCGCCACCTTTCCATAAGCAGAATTCATGCCGCTCCCTCCGTTGCGTTCCAACCCCTCTGGCAGAGTTTATCCGCGTTCTTATGGACCGCTGTATTTTCGTCGGGTTCTTTGTACGTCTGGAGTGATGACGCTCGTCCTAACTTCTCGTGGCGAATTATATTAACCCCTTAATGCACAGTTTTTTTTAAAAAGGCCGGCCAAAAAAGATCAATTTTTTTAAATGTAAAAAGACACAATTTAGAACGTTGTCTTGGCAAGAAAATTACAAAAATACAAAAATAATCAAAATTTTTATTGCAATTCTAATTTTCAGAATATTACTATTATTATTATTATTGTTATTATTATTATTATTATTACTATTATATTTTATTTTACATTATATTTTAGTAAAATATGTATTCAAGAATGAGCGAATCAGAATCTGAATATGAATACGCTGTCGGAAAACGGCTCACAAGGAAGAGATAAGTCGTAAGTGATAAGTAGAAAAAGGATATATTTTATACTTGAATAAGTAAATGTTATAGCTTACAATCCCATGTAAATGATAAATATCAATAAAACGATTGTTTTTTTTGCTTTCACATTGTTATTTTCAATTCTCGATTGCATTCGAGCGTGAAAATTTATAGCAGCATAAAGTACAACGCCACTCGAATTATCTCGAGTGTGCACAGTTTGGCCAGTTTAGCGCGCTCGGGTTAACTCGAGCGTGCACGTTAAGGGGTTAAAAAACATGCTGCACTAAGCAATCATTCAGAACGGTCTAACAATCTAATCTCCTTGCATGACGTCCGCGATTATGTAAACGCCGATATGACAAGTTCATGCAAATGTATATCGCCGCTAATAATTTCTATTACTTTTCATGGTACAAACGTCGAGACTTGACGCAAAGACGTCGAGATTTTTCTGCTGGTTCACGAACGCAAGAGTCGGATTTTGAACCGTTAGTCAATGTCCTGAACGTTCTGGAAATTATACGTTTAGTCATCACATTAGTCACAGTTTGATCGACGTCCGTCACACAAAGGTGACAACGTATGTAGGCGACGATATTTTTCTGTTATTTATAAACAAAACGTATAGATATATGTATAAAGTAGTTGCATATATTTAGAGTAAAACGATGACTCAGTCTCTGAGAAACGTGGCTATTTTATCCGGTCGCCGGAAACCACTTCATCATTGCACGAGTACAGTAATATACCGTGTTTAACGAATCGTCTAGCAACGAAGTTAATATAACTAATTTCAATTGCGAGCGACAAACCAAATGAATGGCAAAAAAATGCGTAAATCGATTAATTTAAATGTGTAATCGATTTCAACGCTTCATAGTTAAATTCTGCTGATTCTAGAATTGACTCGTTCGTGTTTTTCTTCGAATAAAAGTTAACTGAACACCGAGTTGTTGCGGGGTTCTATAGTTTTTATAAAACATTTCGGAATATATCTTTAAGGTTTTTATCTGTCTAGTGTTGCGAACACTTTGTCGAACGTTCATTACCGTAATCGCGCGAGAATATCGACATTGGCGTCGATCGGAACCGCTTAAAGAATCACGACACTCGTACCGATTCGAATTGCGAAAAAAAGAAAAAAAAATGGGAATTACATACCAAAAAGGTGGATCGTTCCTTCCGTGGCGGCGAGGTTAAATCGCTGAGTGGATTCGATCGTGACACTGGGCAATGATAGATTGAACTGTGAGTTTACTGGGACCCGGTTAAATTAAACCGTCTGTCTGACCGAGGTCAGGGTAAAGCCTACCGACGCGCACTCTCGTTCTTTCTGCGTCGCATTCGTCTCGCGACGCGCGTCTTCAACGGGGTGTTATATTTACCTCCCTCCTTTCCGTCTCGCTAACTGTCACAGACATGTTTCCACAGTGTTTTTGACCCCCGTCCAATTCACGCAACTTCCATTCAATAAAACAAACCGGTCGGACCGCGCGATGGTCCAGAAAGCGGTAATTTGCAGCCAACGTCCAATTTTTCAATTTCTCAACTTCACCATGAAACGTGCCTTCGAAACGAGTTAACAACTCCTTCTCTATTTGTGTGTAACGATACAGGTATGTTTTTTTTTACAAAAACATAGCAGCAAACATGCTGTTACAAATATCAATATTGTAACTGAATTCTGTGAGAGAACAAAAATGTACAATAAATATTCGAATTATATGTTAGGAATTAGATTTGCATTAGCAAAAAGTCGACGTGAAAATATCTTTGTTTTGCCAGGATTCACGGCCCTCTGGACCTCCGTATCACAGTACGATCCCGTGTTGCGTATCCTAACCTCCTTTGTTTTTTTGAAAAAATATTCATTATCCTTTAAAAGTGACTGCTCCTGTAAGATAATAAATAATTGCTATGTCTATCGATCTGATCAATTTCTGCTCACTACTTGTTTCAGATGTGTTTTTACGTACTTCAATCTCAAAGGGGTTAATTCAACACGATTACCAGAATGTACGCGCTAGGTACGCATGCGCTTTCAAAACTAACCCTTTTCAAAGTCGTGTTACCTTTGTTTTAATCGCAGCGAGATACAACCTTGCGTGTATCGACGGATTATTTAACATGGATTTAAATCTTACATTAACTTATCTTTATCTCTGACTCGTGCTGTCAATTAGCTTATGCGAATATGTAAATGTGACAACAATAGCCGTCGCGTCACAAGATATCCGGGAATAATTAACGATGTCTCGCGATCTCGTTTGGACACGGTGAAGTGCATCGCACACTCGATAAAGAGCGCTGAAAAATCAATGAATCGATTCGCCGTGTTTATTTTGCTGTCCGTGTACTTTGTGTCACGTGTACATGTGCGTATGCATCGAGGAAATACGATTACAGTTCGGGCGCATATTTACCTTGACCTATGATCCGTTGTTTTTTTCTTCGGTTCACGTTGCTGCGTTGCAATTATTACTTGCACAAATGACACTTTTAACACCGAACGTCGAGGAGATTACGATTAACACTGAATCCGCGACTGGTGACACAATGCGCGCATGCGTTCTATCAATTTCATCGGACGGTGTAGTTTCGGCAATCTGTAATGCCTTAAAGTCCAATGTCGAACGGAAAGCGTTCGCATTTACCGTTTCGGTCCATCAGAGTATAGAATATTTTCGGTTACACGTTTCTCTTTACTTCCACGTGTTAATCACTGCCTCGAGTATTATCTGTTGTTAGATAACGCGTACTTATTCGCGAATCCCAGACAGCAATGAGCTACGCGTATTTTCTCCTTGCGCTTATACGAATTTCACACATATCTACGGCTGTGTGTGTCTGCGTGTGCATGTCAAGGTGCACAACTTAGGTTAGGACCGGACCGAGAGATGGGGCGACCAATTCCGTCATGCGAACGTACAATTAAAAAAATTGAATGCTCTTTGAACACCGCAGCATCTTTCTTACAAACTTTTATTTCAACCATCTTATTTACCATTTTACAATAATACGATCAATTTCTTAAAAAAATATTTTAGATCACCGCGGTTCTGAAACGGTCGTTTGTAAAAACAATTTCGTTGATAGGACGAAACGAAATAGAATAAATAAAAGTTAAGTTAAGAATTATCACATAGTAGGTATTGTCGAAATGTACGTATGTATGTATGTAGTCGATAAAGTAGAGAATTGGTAATGAATTGTAATTAACATTGACGTACAGCGTAATTGAGCAGTACCATGGAAATCTTGACTATTTTAAGCGTTTCGATGGTATCGGAAGAAATAAATTATAGCTCAAGCGACATAAGGTAATCTAGAGTAAACCTTAAATTAATTCCAACCTAAAAATTCGCGACACACCGAGAATCTGGCATGGTAATTATGATAATGCGTTATTTTTGCGTGAATCAGCATAATACAGCATAATACAGCGGACGTGTATGCATAGCGGATGCCTATGGAGGACAATGGGAAATCGATATGGCTTGGATATGGTACGTGTCACTCGCGCGTCTGAAACCGTTTGTTCACGTAGTCAATGCGTGATTGAGTGATGAGTGCAGCACGTCGAATTCTGAAGAATTGCATTCGGCAGAATTGGAAGCGGAGGTCAGGCATTACGCCAGAATTGCGAAATGTCGGGAATAGGGATCTCATGATCTTGACTAGGAACAACGACCTGCCAACCCCACTCGTATCTCTCGGCGGCTAATGCGAGAGCGAGAGCGAGAGAGAAAGAGAGAGAGAGAGAACGCGCGTGCATCGATTAACTTTGCAATTGACATTAGGTTCCCCATTAACGTGGCTTTGAATTATCGCCCGAGATTAATTTCCCACTTTAGATGAGGACAGCTCGGCTTAACCTTTTTTCGAGCACCATGGAACGAATGGGACGCCAATGGCGTGCATCGCAATTTTCAGCAACTCCACAATTTAAACCGGAAGTTCCGGGTGTTGCGTTTAACGGAGCATAGGCGCAAAGAATCGTGAAATATTGAATGAAAAATATTACAGATTTTGATTGCAACAAAAATGATGTATTTAAATACGCGTGAAACAGTTTTGAATCGTTTTCGTAGCTGATGCATAATGTAGATAGATAAATCCGATTTATTTTATCGAGTGTATGGGGTCCGATCTTTTTGATAGAATGGTTCAGTTTATGTTTAAAATAATAAAGCGTGACATAACATTAGGAATTATTAATGCGCATGGTTAACCACGTGACTTGCACACTGTACAATCCTTTCTGCGCACATAAATATTATTTCCGTCTAATATCATGCTGTTTATTCATGATTGAGCAATGTAGTTATCAATGTTTATAGTCGTACCATTGACTTTACATTGCCTTGTTCCTAAAGATGAAAGACCTCTATATTAATATTCTCAATATAGACGATGGACCTGTGTTCGCACGATGAAAATCTATGAATATATAATACTGCAGTATTCTCGATACTCCATAAATTAATATTCTATTTATTCATTAACGACAAACCCAATTATTTCCTGTATTATTTCTCCGATGACGCAATTACTCAGTCTCTCGTGATACTAATTTGACACGTTTTCAATGGTTTGCTATATAGAATTATTTTAACAAGCGTCTTTTACCATATTTATTTGAAAGTGATCGAAACTTTTGCGAATGCGGCAGAAAGGCGAACGATATCTTTATCGACGTTCGATCAAATTACACGGTTGACTTGGTTGCCGGCAGATGGCGCCGATGTGCCAATTGCATCAGATAACATAACATTTTCGCCCGTTAATAAAAAGAGCGTCACTATCTTCCCCAACCTCGATTCACTGCGAAAAGGGCGAGCGGATATTATCATCGCTGTTGGATACGCGGGTTAGACGAAACGAATAAATTATCCTCCATTATTTTTGTTTCACGCGGCACGGGTATCCGATGTCTCCTCTCTGGTTAATTAGCGAAACGTATAATTTCGCATTATCGTATCGTCATCAACGAAATGAAGGTAAATGTACACACGTGTACTTCCAAAGGTATATTTCAGCGATCTCGGTGAGTTAAAGCGATGGCTTTATCACGTGAACCTATCAAATTTAATTAAGCCCGGTCACGTTAACGTTTCATTTGTAAGAACGCCGCGCGCAATTATTCTTCCGGTTTATGGATTTATAGCGGAATTACGGTCATAAGTCTCGTGTATTTTTTGGCGCTTATATTCCCCTGAAATTATGTGAGAATGACTTTGGCGCGCGGCCAACGTTCCGCAGAATGTGCGGAGACAACATGTACGGAGCAACGAACTTTGGGAAGCGTGACTTTGGCGAACATTCTTTTTCTTTCACCGCGGCAAATTTCTTGCGACTGAGATTGCTCGTGGTTTCCCGTGGATTTTTTACTCCCCCCTCCCCATTTTTATCTCCGTGCCCGAGAACATTTCTCATCGGATTCCGTTCGATCGAAAAGATTTTTAATGTTTCGAAGAATAACACTTAGCGCCACCTATTAACATAAGCATTAATGTGAAACACGTAAACACGGCTCTTTCGAGTTCGACAGAAGCCAAACTTCCGCTATGACCGTAAAGCTGTTAACACGTAAGAGCAGGATGAAGGTGCGAACAGCTAAGTGTTCCTAGAAATCGGTCTCCAAACATTCCGGACGTTACACGTAGACGCGGAAGAATTTACAGCCGATTTTACGTTATGATTTAACCTCAAAGTCCATCGTGCGGTAAAAAGATCCTTTTAGACGTCACGGAATAACAAACATCGCGCGTAACAACGATTTTTCGAGTAAAAACAGCCGCGTTACTTTAACATTCGACGCATTAATCATGCTATTTAAGCAGTTGTATTTATTCTGTACGGTGCATTTATTCAATAATCCCCAGGTTTTCATATCCAGCATGAAAAATGTCTCTGTCTCTGTTCGCAGGTTTCAAATAGAAATCGCAATTTAGTTGAAAGCTCCGAGCAGTTTGTTATAATTATTCCAACGATTTCATATAAAATCAGCAATAAATTGCAGCTTAAGCGTAATTTATGGATCAAATGTGATGCAGTTCGACGATTCGAAAAGCAGAAAGACTATATTTTCAAATTTCTGTTTCATCGACAGAACGCGATGATCCATTTAATCGCGACGGCAGCTGCTCGAGTCTCAAGGACCGTCCCGAGACATTTGCCACAACACAAATCTCCCATGAATCAAGGAAGTCTTCCGGAGCCGGTTGCGCCTACGTGGGAGGAAGGGGATGCACTATTGTGACCGACTGCATACATGGGCGGCGCACATGCACGCAGATTTAATCTCGAAGCTAAACTTTGTTGGTAGTAATTTTCGGTGAGTAAGAATAATCTCGTGTTCACGCGTGGCTTGGAGCTTTCGCCAGGCGGAGTTAGGGCGCTGCCTCGGCTGCAGGTTAGGGTTGGAGTCGAGACTCGAGAGGGAGAGAGGAGCCATGGAGGTTTGGGGTTAGTGGGATGGTGGTGGTGGTGGCGGCGGTGGTGGTGGTGGCGGCGTCGGGCAGCAGCCAGCGATGGTGGTGGTGGTCGGCGACGATGGTGGTGGTGGCACTGAGAGCGGGGATGGTGGTGGAAATGGTGAGCGAGCAACTGCGCAGACCCGAAAGTCTCTCAGCCGCGAGTACGTAGCCAAACTGCGATTCAGTGAGGACTGACTGTTCCCGTTTGCAGTGCAGCTCGAAATCTCAGGGAGAAACCGCGGTCTTTCGTCCTCTCCTCCTTCTCTCTCTCTCTTTCTCTCTTTCTCTTTCTATCTCTTTCTCTCTCTCTCTCTCTCTCTCTCTCTCTTTCTCTCTCTTCCTCTCTATCTTTCGTTCTCTCTGTCTCTCTATCCCTGATCCGTTTCACTGTCCCTCCTTGTCCGACCGGCTGTGTTCCATCGGCGCAACCCCTCCCGCCTTTTGTTTTAGTTTCTCTCGCCGCGGCAAAAGTACGTCCTTAACTTTTTCCATTCGGCCGTCTATCCGGACGAGGTCCGAGCGTGTATGTACGGGACCGTCGTTCGTGATGCACCATCGGGCCTGCTCGAATCTCTTTTTCCAACGGGCAGCATCAGCAGAGGTAGCAGCAGCGGCAGTAGCGGTAGCAGCCGCCGGCGCCTCGATTGACGTGCTCCAGAGAGCCTAGGAGCCGGAAAACGGCCTTGTCCTCTGCTCCCAGACGAATTCCGAGGGTTCCCCGTGAACCGGTCACGTGGCCAGTCAGCGACAGTGATTCGGGGAGATCCGTTGGTTTCGTTTCGCGGACCGGTACACATCTTTCTATCTCTCCCCTGATCAGTCTATCTGTGCCGGACCGGGTGAAACGTGCGTGTGCTAGTTGATCATCTCTATCCCGGCCGACGTCGGACAAACCGCGCCAGCGGGATCGGACCCGCAGGACTCACTGTACACACACATACACACACCGGACCCACCACGGCAACCCTTATGTGTGTGTAAAACCAAAGGTGGCCCACAGGTCGATGTGCACAACTCCAGGGAAACGTACTGAAACTCCACGTCCGTCGGTGTAAGTATAATCGTCATTCCATCAACCCCCCTTTTTTTTCTTTTTTTTCTTTTTAACTATAAGCTCTCCGCCGCTGGCTCGCGCAATGACTCGCACTGTAGCCAGTTCGCGAGTCAGCTGTACTACACGGTAGCAAACGAACGCCGGCCAATAGCGCGGAATAGACTTATGCATGCAACATTATCACCGTCTCGCGCGTTCTCTCGTGATTTATCGTGACACATTCGATAAACCGTTGCCTAGAATGCTTCGCTGCCCCGGTATTATTTAGCGGTTTTGGGAAAAATTCCCGTACAACCGTTGTTCCGGCCGGAGGAATCGACGATGATATAATTCGAAGGTTCGAATTAAATATCGTTGGCCCGCGTCAAAGGGCGATCGGACTCTCGAGGACCGTTCAAACGAAATAATTACGGTGACCGCTCGGCCGAAAACGTTAATGCAATCGTTTCGATTAGGCCGAAGCTCGTTTCAATCGCATAGTTTTCGAATATTATGCGACAGTGACGCTCGTGACGATGAGAAAATCTACCGCATGGATTGCATCGAATTATCAGATTTTTATCTTGTTTAGATCGAGTCAAATTGCACTTATATGAATTTGAATCTCTTCTCTCTCTCTCTCTCTCTCTCTCTCTCTCTCTCATTGGCTCGAATGAATAAGACTGATAAGATTGTCGGTTGTTTCGCCACTTCGACGACGGGATCCGGGTTGGTTCTGACCCAGAGCATTAAAATATCATTATTCATCCATTGGATTAAAAATAATCGAAAGACTAATGGCTCGACAATAAGTACTTTCGAAAATGTTTTACTTCTTCTCTTACGCTTCTTCGTAAGCGGGTTCTTTTTCAGATTCTAAATATTAATATTAATATAATAATAATATAATATATAATATAATATATTAATTCAGCGGTTGCACTAAAGACGATAAACGGCTCCACGGTAAATACTTTCCAAAATATATGACGAGCGGCCGCAAGCATGATCAAAAAGGAAAACCACCGCCTGTCGGTCGACGTAATATTCTTCGGGGGTTGTATATCCTTGGCTTTCCATGCGATCGGACGGGAAAAAAATCGATCGAATTTCGGATGTCGGGCAGAAAGGTTCTCGGGAGACGAAATTCGGGGCGGAAAACTGAAAGCGCGAGCCGGGGATGCTATAGCGGCAAGAAACTCGGCGGAAAGTTCTCGCGATATTAAATGTTGTTCGCGGGACAACAGAGGCAATCTGCGACGCGGAGCGCACACATCGGGCATTATTAATCAGACATTCGAACTGGAGCAGGCAAGTGTTTGTCGACGAGCAAGTGGACGCGCGCATGATTTATGAACTCGCCCCGATACACACGGCTGCGTCGCGTCGCGTCGCGTCCCGTCGCGTCGCGACGTCGTTAAATTTCAACGATTCCTCGACGAGACCGGGGGCCGCATATCCGTCAGACTTGCACCAACCAAAATTTCATTCCGCGGCCGGTGGGGGGGGGGAGAGGTGGGAACACGCCGGCAAGACTTGCATACCGTCGCGTACTTAATACCCGGTGCCAGGGCAATATAAGCCGCCTGTTAATAACCGGCGCGAGTATCCCGGCACGCGGGGGGGCAGCCTCCATCGGCAGGGAAAAATAGTAATATCCCGTCAAGGGGGTAAAGTAAGGGTGCATTTCATTACCGTAGTCGCCGCGCGAGAGTTCACGGGATTAGAAGTGGTGTGTGCCCCCGTCGATACGGGGAAATTAATTATGAACTTCGGGCCGAGCGCGCGATCCCCGCCGATGTATTCAACAGTTCGAATCGCGATCCCTCTCGTCGCTCGACGATAAGCCAGCGAACCGTGCGCGCTTTTCTGCTCGACGATTTCCTTTTTTTTTCCCCCCGAATTACTCGCGACAATTGATACGTCTCTAATGGCCGACGATGCCCGTAATTGCAGTCTGTGGTTAAAGAAAATCGCTGCGCCACGGAATATTGCGGTAGCGCGGGACGAAAGGGGGGGATCAAACGTGGTCCACACCTGGGAGGACGTATTCGATCAAACGAATCGGGCGTCTGTCGTTTTAATTACCCATTTAATCGATCCAGAACATTTTCTCGTCGGAGGCAAATTTATGCGTAGAATTCCTCGGGAATTCTTATAAAACTTGGCAAGAGGACACAAGAGCTTCCATCGCTTTGTTAGCGTTTCAGCAACTGGATTCTGATACGTTCAACAACGAGATGTACTTGATAATAATGAAAATGATACGGTGCAAAAAATACTGTGCAACGAGCTCAAGAAATGATAGCTAAGAACGTGGATATTTCGTTCAGTTTTCAAGCTTTCGCATCTGTTCGGTTTTGAATACGTTCGAGGAACGGGAGAAACAATGTTAACGATCAGGTATCAACATTGCATTTTTATGCAGAAAACCGGCGGGTAGAACTTTCCTGAAGCGGTACCGACACGATCCACATTTAATAAACTAGTGCAATTTTTATAGATAGAAAATCGATCTATAATAGCGTCTATACACCGCGTCGCGTAGAATGCTGAGGAAAATATACCTTCGATAGCGGTGCACTCTCCTTCGCTCTCTCTCTCTCTCTCTCTCTCTCTCTCTTTCTCTCTCTTTCGTTCTCTTTCCCTCTCTTAGCGAGTGCTCCGAACTTCCAAGTGGATAATCAGTCTGAATTCCCAGCGATCTGAATCGCTTTTTACATAAAAAGGGAGCGCGGACTGACAAAATGGCGACGCTACGGAGAAAAATATTCCATTTCATTTCACAACTCGACTCTACACCGTTTCCCATCCTATTTTACGCTCAATGCCGACACCGCGCGCCATCGTTCTCCCCATATTTTACATTTCGAACTTTCTTCCACCGGTTGTTGCGTTATCGTCCGTTCTAAAATCGTCGTCGAACGACGAAACACGGAAAACAACATCGGCTCGACGGTTCCACGTCCACGACGGTCTAATTTTAACCCGCGGAGAGCGCCGAAACTGTTCGGACATGCCGCGATACAAACAGCTATTAACGCTGCTATCAATTATCCGACGGTTTTCTACGGAATGTGGCGGCTGAGAGCGGTGGATTAGCGTCTCTTTAAATCAATCAAGTCCTCGGCGCTTGGATCTACGAAAAACTGAGAATCGGACCGGAGAGTTGAACAACCAACGTTTAAGCCCGCTGCGCGAGATTATTGCTGCGCGGTTTCGCAGAGATTGAACTCGATGTTAAACGAATCGAGAAGACGCTCGTTCGCGATCGCAGAACTTCGGGGCAATATTTCTGAGAAAAATCATAAACCAAATGGAAACTCCGTTGCGAGGATTTTATTGCGCGTATCCTAAGGCAAACGAGGATACTTTCTTAATTTCGGCTTGGTGGTACGCCCGCTGAAAATATAACGGAACGATAATCCCGAATTTATCGCTACGGCGTGGATAGCCGAGTCGCTAAAAATTCGGAGCATTTGAAAATCGGGCGAAACGGTGTCGCTCGGGAAACGATCCTGGGAACATTGTCGCCGATCGGGAAACGGGGCGAGATCCGAAAAATCGCCACCTGAGTCAATAATCGGGCAGAAGATCGACGAAGGGGGTAGCTCGCGCGTTCGTGGAGCACTTAAAAAGCTAACAGCCTCTGGAACCCTGCGGACGAGAGTCGGCATTTACGGTGCAACAGCCTAATAGCGACGACACGAGGGTTCGAGCACCGCACGGTACATTTGCCCGGACTTTTCTTTCTCTCGGCGAGTCCGATCAACCCCGGAGACGGTTTTATTTACACCCCCCGCAATGAAAGGCGAGATCGGCCGGCCCGATACCAAATACGAACGTTGTTTCCGAATCGATTTCGCGGCGAGGGAAAAAGGGAGAGAAAAGAGGGAGATGGAAAGATAGAGAGAGAGAGAGAGAGAGAGTCTCTCTCTCGATCCCTGATACAACAGAAGACCGTGGCGAAGCACGATTATCGGCGGCAGTCGCATTTTCTCCTCGTACCAGAGCTTTATCGTTCATAAAGAGGGATGAAGGCCGACGGTGGCCGATGGAGGCCGCCGAGGGGCGGCAGGGGAGGCGTCCAGAGAGAAAGAGAGACTCGTGAGAAATTTTAATAACGGAGGGGACCGATTCCCGGGTCTCTACCCGGCCACTTTCTGAACCGTCGACTCGATCGACTTCCAGCGCTCGGTGGTAAATCACGACGCACCTGGCGGCGCTGCGCGTCCACGGATGGACGCACTCGCGCTCTCTCTCTTCTCTCTCCCGTTCTCTCTTCACCGGTGTTCCGATTAGTTTCCTCATGGCTGGAGAAAAGGTATTCCTTGCGAGCGGCCGCATTAAAAACCGTGGCCTGTGAAAATGGGCCACAAATGCCCGGCGAAAAGAACGCGAACCCGGCAGGGGCGCAGGGACGCAGGGACACAGGGGCGCAGGAGAAAACGCCCCGTCCCCGGACAGTTTAGTTTAGTTTAGTTTAGTTTAATGCCGAGCCGGGAACTTTTTTCTCGCGGCTTTATGCAGCCCTGCGTCGCTCGAGCAGACCCGTTTGTCTTTCTCTCGGATGAATTATGCCCGGCTAGGACCCAAAGGGCGCCCGATTTCTTTGTTTAGCATTTATCGCGGCTTCCGACTTGCGAACGGACCGGGAACACGATTCACAANATTTACGGTGCAACAGCCTAATAGCGACGACACGAGGGTTCGAGCACCGCACGGTACATTTGCCCGGACTTTTCTTTCTCTCGGCGAGTCCGATCAACCCCGGAGACGGTTTTATTTACACCCCCCGCAATGAAAGGCGAGATCGGCCGGCCCGATACCAAATACGAACGTTGTTTCCGAATCGATTTCGCGGCGAGGGAAAAAGGGAGAGAAAAGAGGGAGATGGAAAGATAGAGAGAGAGAGAGAGAGAGAGTCTCTCTCTCGATCCCTGATACAACAGAAGACCGTGGCGAAGCACGATTATCGGCGGCAGTCGCATTTTCTCCTCGTACCAGAGCTTTATCGT